AGGAAGGAAGGAAGGAAGGAAGGAAGATCCCTAAAAGCTGTGGTGAGAAGGACCAATCTCTTCTCTACATGTAGAAAACTGCTCATAATGCATGAAAACGTATTCTATGTTTCACCCAGTTCCAGTGAAAACTGGAATATATTACAGAAGGTTTTTTTTTTTATATAGGAGCTTAAACAAGAGCACTGTCAGCATTGTTAAAAAAAAATATTACAAAATTTTAACCACTGTAACAAGAAACTTGGAGAAACAGAGATTCTTCTATTCCAAAATACCCAATGCTTTTTAGTCTTAAGGAATATTAAATATATTTTTTATGACCCAAAAAGAAGCATTCCACAAAAATTATTTTTTGGGTTTATTGGTCTCCTAAAGAGGAAAATTGGGTTATCCCTCTCCTGTTAGTGTCATTTTGATATTACCATCCACCTTTTGATCATTTTCACGGTTAGTTCCTTCTTGTGCTATTGGCTCATTTGCAAGGAGCTGCACAGCCTGTTGCTGAAAATATTGTTCTGTATTCCTGAAAGGACACTTGTGTATCACATACTGCAAACAGTCAGTTCTCCCCCTTTGAATTGGTCCTTAATTGTCCTAAAACAAGCACCAAACAATCTGATTCCATGCAGTTCGGGTTTAATGGTTTGTTTAAAAACTGTAGCTAGTTTTATATTGGTGCAATTATTATTGCAAAAGTATTGCAAAAAAGTCGGGGGGGAAAAAAACAACCACTGAGAACATTGTTCCTTTGCCTGCCCTGTTCATTTTATTTCATTTGATTTCACGTGTTTGTTTGTTTGACTTGTATTTGCAAGTTCTTAAAAAAATATTTTCATTTGTGGTTGTAAACAAACTTAAGAGCTGGAATGTTGTTGTTTTTTCCAGATCCTCAAATGCGCTCTGGAGCAAGGAGTTCAAAAACTATTCGAACCCCCTCGGGATTTGCCCTGGGAAGAAATAGACTGGAGGAAACCATAGTAGGAAGTCAGAGTGGGAATGTTTGAATGGAATGGCTGCTTCCAGGTTGAGCAGACACCAGCTTGAGTGAGTTGTGAAATTGCACCCTCTGCAGGCACAAACGTTGTATAGATTTACCCCCCAAATTAATGGCCTGTGAGGGACACGGTGGCTCAGTGGCTAAGCTCGAATCCCCAGCACCATGTACAGAGTGAGCTCCCATTACTTCTCCCAGCTTCTGCCAACCTAGCAGTTCGAAAGCATGTAAAAAATGTAAGTAGAAAAATAGGGACCCCTTTGGTGGGAAGGGAGCAGCGTTCCGTGCGCCTTTGAAGGCGTTTAGTCATGCCGGCCATATGACCACGGAGACGTCTTCGGACAGCGCTGGCTCTTCTTCGGCTTTGGCATGGAGATGAGCAGCGCCCCCTAGAGCTGGAAACGACTAGCACGCATGTGAGGGGGGAACCTTTACCTTAAGGACCTGTGATTGCTAGGCAGAGGTGGTATTCAGCCAGTTCGGACCGGTTCTCGTGTACCGGTAGCAGAAATTTTGTCCAGTTTGGAGAACTGGCAAATACCACTTCTGATTGTTCCCTGCCCATTTGCAGTTACCTCTCCTTTACTAACTCCTAAGAAACAGCTCAGGTAACTCAGCGGTGTTGAAAGAGGTTGTTATTAGAGCCCTGTGGTGCGTGCACAAAGCGTGATTGCACAAAACGTGATTGCATGCACGCAGCACAAAGCGAGTAGAACGGTAGGAAAAAATTTGGAAACTCACCACTGATGGTAGGTACCCAAACTCTAGCTTACCCAGGTAAGATAACAGTACCAGAAATCTGTCTATGGAGATTCCCACATTCTGGAGAAATTCCACATTCTGGACAGAGAAGACCACTGGTTTGAAAGAGGGGTGAAGGAAGCCATCTAGGTTAAAAGTGAACAGCCCCCCCCCCTCAACAGAGAGGGAGGGATACAACACCAGTTTACAACACAGTCCTTCGTGAAGTTTTCACAGCCATTTGCACTCTGATTCAGGTGACCCTGAGGGTGCAGATAAAACCTCCAAGTGGCCTCAATGACCCTCAGAAAGCTCATGACCAACTTTCAGAGTGCTGAGACCAGATGACGGCAAGGAATATAAATCCTTCCATTCTCTACCATCCAGTCAGAATGGAAGAAGCTTCTTGGATGAGAAGCAAAACATCTTCCAAGCAAAACAAGAAACTCCAGATGCCTCCTGAAAGAAACCGTCTTTGGGACTACCAGAAACCTACTTTTATATTCTATCTTTGACCAACTGACAGGCATCTCCTCTTAACTGAGTTACCTGCAGTGATCCTCTACATCAGGTGGGGCTCTGCCTGTCCCCCAACTTTGGTCACCGAAACAGAACGACCCGACACTTCTTGCTTCAGATCCATACTTCACTCTAATCCATCTTAGCAGCCCCCTTGGGCAAGTGGCCTTTGACTGGATTGACTGTTTTAGAATTAAACCTCTTCCTCTTGCAAACCTCTTTTCACAGGCCATTTCTCCTGACTTTGGCCACATTCTGAACCTCATCTTGAATTCTAGGTGTGGCTCTGGAGCCGAGTCCTGAATCCAGATCTGGCGCGGAAAGTAGATTCCAAATTCAACAAGATCCATTTGCTCTTTGTAGGTTGGGTTCAACGGGCCCCCGGATACCCAAGTTAGGAAGATGTCGGCTACACTTGGTGTGATCTCCTCGGGTTCTTCTGTTTTTCCAAGCCTGGAGTTTCTTGGTGATTTTCTTCTTGGCAAAACTGAAGATCTCCACCAAAAACATGAAGGATACTCCATACATCGCTAGGATCCCACCCTTGAGTGTCCCAAATGTCTTGGGGGACTTCATCACGGAATGCATAATCCAGGCACCCCCGGCGATCCGCAGCCCCAGGAAGAGAACCACAAACAAGATGTCCACCACATCTCCAGCAAAGCTGTGGTAGCGCCCGCTGTCTCGGAGGAACCAGCGCATTTGCAAAAACGGGTTGGTGATCTCGCTCACGAAGACGATGGCGCTGATTTCAGGGCCCGACTTGCCAGAGTCCAAGACCAGCGACATGCCGCCCATGCTTAGCAGGTGGTGAGAGAGTATCAGGTCACCCTCAGTGTCCGAAAGGATGCACCAGCAGAAGTCAAAGATGAAATAGCCCAGTGACAGACAGAGGGCAAACTCTTGGAGTGGCGTGTTGGGATGACCTAGAAACAGGGCAAATTAAAAAGAAAAGAAAAGCAATTTAGTTTGGTGTTCCCATTTGTATTTTCTCCTTTCTGAAAATTCCAAAGCAGTGAGGGTCTAGGCCAACTCTCCATGGCCAACTCTCTATGGCCAACTCTCCATGGCCA